CCCCAAAACCCCAAAACCCCAAAACCCCAAAACCCCAAAACCCCAACTCTAAATTATAATATTGAATTGAAACTTAAGTTATGAATAACTTAGTACTAGCTGAAAGAAGAAGATCTAGGAGGCAATCTATCTCTTCCAAAGCCATGGTCAAGGTCAGAAACTTCTCTGAAAAGCCTTCCAAATCCAAGGTAATTGTGGTTCAGTTCTAAACTCATAGACTCAGGGAAGGAGAGCAAGAAAATAAGGAAAAATTGAAGCAAAAGTTCAATGGTCCACGACTCAAAAATATCTTAAACATCAGCAAGCAGTAAAGATATAACATCTAAAAATATAGAGAAGACCATAAGAAGCTTATTAAAAAGGATGGAAGTGTTGATTTTGACCTTCTCCATTACGATCTTAATGAATTATTCTTTCAAACACCAGTATTTGATGTCCCTCCCCTCTCATTCGACCTTGAAGAAAAGGAAGCAGCAGAGAGAAAATCCCTACAAGTTCTTCAGAGCAAACTTGAGAAGCAGAAGGCTGACCCTAACAGTAACTTCAATTCATTAGAAAATGCGTTTAGATCGCGAAGACTTCATAAAAATAAACACAGCTCCAAATAAAGGATGGGGAAGAATTATGAACATGATCCTCAACGAAGGAGAGTACAAAATGAAATACATCAGGAATTACGAATAAAATAAAAGGTTAAGTCATCTTTAATTTTGTAGCCAGACTCCTCAACAAAGGGAGAGTACCATTTGTATTTCAAAGTAGTAAGTATTTGAACTTATTGCAGGCTCTCCTCCGAAAAAGACAACAGTAGAACTTTCTAAAAATAAGTCCTGAGAGTTTTCCTTCAATTTTGAGAGAAATACTACTAATAATTCACAAGAAAAGTTGTTTATCGAGGAACATTGAGCCCATAAAGAATATGATTATGCTAAGGATAAACTGATAAACTTAAAGAATGAAAACTCTAGATTTCTAAAAGTACTCAAGGCATTCATCAAGTTTAGTATATCTTATAATCTGATATAGGAAACCTCTTAAAATACATAAGAGATCAGGTTATATCCCTTTTCCAAGAGTAAAGAGCAGGCTTTCTCCTATAAAAAGTAGAAATAGTTCCTTCTTAAGTACTTTTTTGATAACCCAGTAGCTAAGAATCCCAAACCTACTATAAATCCTGAGCATACACATAAAACCGTCATTCCTCCCAAAGAAATTAATCACAACTACACAAGACAAATTATGAAATTTATAGAATTTTATGAGAGGTATTGCCTCCAGGTTTATTTTCTATAGATCTCCGAAAGATAGCAAGAAATTTAAAAGGCACCAGAATGGAAATATCTCGAACAAATTTAATAGACTTTTTCACAACAGAAAATTTAGCCTTGAAGTAGCCAAATGTAACCTCCAAAAGATGCCAAATAATAGGTATAAAGTGCATGAGGAAGTCAAACAAATGATAAATAAGCTACAGCAAAGGGCTAACTCAGTGGGAAATGAAACCTTATTTAGATAAATCATCAAAATTAGTTATTTCAATCTTTCCAACACAAGATGGGGTTTTGGGGTTTTGGGGTTTTGGGGTTTTGGGG